TCTCGTACGGATTGCGACAGGGCTTGCAACGAAGGACAGACACGCGACAACGAGCTGCCGGGCCGGAAAGATCGGAAGGAAGGTCCAGGTAGAGGAGTTTACGCGCCAACGGGCAGCCGTCCGGAGTGGCATCGGCAGAGGTGGGACCCACCGCAAGAACTTTGTAGGGCCCCGTCCAGGAAAGTGCGAAGTTGGCCTTTAGCACCTGTTGGTCCGTGTCCTTCCTAACACCCTGTCGAATTGTAGCAGCCGTGTTGTACACCCAAGCCCACCCACCAACGGTAAACTGAGGGAGCTTGTGGATGGCGTCCAGCAGGGATGAATTGCGGAGTTTTACTCGCGAAATCTCCAGGGCGTTGTACTCACGGACAAGTTTTGCAGGCCCGGCGCTAGCGATCCACAGCCAGGTTGCAATACTCGAGTTGATCGCGGGCCAAGCATTGATGACCGCCTGCCGTGGGATGATCGAAGACCGAAAGCGGGAGTCGAGGCATGCGTCCGATGTGGATCTCGTTTGGCGCTAATCCAGTAGACTAGTTCACGGAATTGTTGTAGGCAAACTCAACGTGCGGGAGATGTACATCCCAATCGTTTTGCTGTTCGTTGACGACCACCGCAAGCGCCTGGGCCATCGTGTGGTTGAAGCGTTCCGTGCCGCCGTTGGTCTGTGGGTGGTAGGAGCTGGTGGTGACCTTCTTGATCTTCACCACCTCGTAGATCGCCATGGAGAGCTTCGAGCAGAAATGCAGTCCGTTGTCCGACAATAACGTAGTCGGACATCCCCGCTTGGTCGTATATTGGTTGACGAAGATGTGAGCCGTCCCTTTCGCCGTAAATTCCGCCGCTGTAACTGCGAACATGTCGGCTCTCCGACTGAAACGGTCTGTGAACAACAAAATGTAGGAGTTGCCCTTGGCAGTCACTGGTAGAGGTCCGAAGAAGTCGACGCCGACGACCGAACGAGGCCCCTTCGGCAATGGCACAGCGATGACGGGCCACCGAGCAGTCTTACGTGAAGTTGCGAGCTTGACACACCAAACACGCCCGAAGCCACCAGCGCACGGAACGATCCAAACCAATCCACCAGTAGAAGCGCTCGAGCAGACGCTGTATACGACGGACGCCGAGATGGAATGACGCGGCGGTATGGCATGCATGAAGGACCCACGGACGCATCAGCATTGGCACGTAGACACGAGGCACGCCAGTACCCGGCAGACGAGGGATCCTGCCGCTGACGCCAAGTTTACAGGAGGTAAAGCCGTGGGCGGTAGCTTGCTCCTAGAGATAGATGAAGGTTCTGTCGTTGACACGCTTGTCCACGACCACGTTGAGATGGGAAAGTCGCTTGTTGTTGCTGAGAGACGATCAGCAAGGGTCTGAGACGAAGTGGGGATCCAACTTCATCTCAGGGGGTACACAGAGTAGGCAATTCTGAGGGGGTAGGAGTCAGAAGGGTATACCTCCTGACCGGCCCGCATCCTATCAACAGTAGGATGAACCCTATTCATGCTATTAGCAGCCACACTCCTTAACATCCTCCCTGCCTACTCTGCTGTGTTGGGTACCTTGATGTCGCTTTTGCTGTTGCTTTTGTTTTTGTACATCTGGCTGTCTGCCCATCTGCCGCCTGTTTGTCCTGTTTGCTCCGCTACTCCCATGCCCTGGTGCTAGTGCCTGCTGCTGGTACCTACGTTGTACCCGTTGATATTTTCTTTAGGAGGGGGTGTGAGAAGCGTCCTCCTTTATTTTTGTTTTTGTTTTATTTTGATCGGTTTCCGAGGGCTCTTTTCTCGAACGGCCGGTGCGGTAGCTGTTTTTTTCTTTCTATCAATTTGTTTTCTTTTTCCGAGTGGTTTCTACCCTATTTTTGTTTTGTTTCCCCGCGGCGTCGTATGTGCCGGGTTTTGAGACCACGGGCTCCCCAGTTTTTGTGGACTATGGAGCTAATGTGAGAAAAAACAACAAACTACAATTCCTGCAGCACGTTTGTTTGCGTGCTCACATCTAAACTACACGTCCACACACTCAAATCGACTACATACAGCAGCAGCATCACCAAAATGAATGTTTGTGGACTACAGCGTCCTGCTGTCTGAAGTGCTGTCTGTTCAAAAATAACACCACCATGCATGGTGCATGGTACACAAGCTCGGGGCATGCAGCTGCTGTCTGAAGTGCTGTCAGAATGNGGAGCTAATGTGAGAAAAAACAACAAACTACAATTCCTGCAGCACGTTTGTTTGCGTGCTCACATCTAAACTACACGTCCACACACTCAAATCGACTACATACAGCAGCAGCATCACCAAAATGAATGTTTGTGGACTACAGCGTCCTGCTGTCTGAAGTGCTGTCTGTTCAAAAATAACACCACCATGCATGGTGCATGGTACACAAGCTCGGGGCATGCAGCTGCTGTCTGAAGTGCTGTCAGAATGAGTCCGTGGACGTACAAAAAAGAAGAACAACCAAAGCCATCATTGCAATTGACAATCACCCGAATCTATCTATCTATCTAGATCTGATTCATCTGTGTTAGACACAGCAGTGGAAACATCGACACTGACTCCTGGGAATCGTTCCACATTGACGGGGTCTTCCACGATGCAGGTACGCAATTAAGGAGGCTCCCGGGATATCCGCGCCATCTCTGCCGCGTCTAAAACAAACTAGAAATGGTCGTCATACACACCCAACACCATTTATTCAGGAAAAATTCATAGCCTGGTTTGGTGTGTTGTTTGTGTAATGGTTTTGGAGTAAGACAAAGTGGCATCGTAACTCGCTTCGCTCGCAGACACACTTCACGGGGTTCCGGA